TGCATGCCCAAGCCATCACACTGCTCTGCTGTGTTTTATAGATGATGTGGTGCTTTGGATCCTGAGCTGTACCACGCCTTCACCATCATCTTTTAATGGTCCTGGGTGTCACGCCTGTCACCACTGATGGTTCCCTCATGACTCTTTGTTACGGTTTGTTGTGCTTCAAGAGTCACCTGGAATAACCTTGTCGTGAGTTCGAGAGATGAAACCGTAAGTCAAAACGAACTATGTGGTGATGACCCCTACAGGTCTCTTATCAGAAACCACGTCTCAGAGGATGACTGACAGCGAAACAGATGGTTATGGCCACAAAGCTCGATCCGTGAGATACAAAGAGCTTACACTGCTTGACCTACATAAGTGCTAAAGGCACCAACATTTTGTCTGTGGCATTGACACAAGGTGGATAAGTTTTCAGACATATAAAAGAGGAGGACAAGTGTGAACTTACAGCTTTGTCTAGGAACAGGTTGTCTCCAGTCAGGTGATAGGTACTCAGCAGGCCTCCCAGGATGCGTATGGTGCTTTCAAAAAGATTGACATCTACATTTTTGTTGAACGTCAGCTCCGTGGAGACCCACTCCTTTGCTTCTTCAAACTCTGAAACAGGTAGCAATAATTTAAATTACAACTTTTATAACGGCCTATTTAGCAGTTCAGGTTTTTGCAGTGTTGTTACAACTCTTCATACAGTGATGAAATCAGAAATGTTAATGTTTAAACAAAAACAGAAAAGCTTCTGTGAACACGCTGCAGTTATTTTGAGGATCTGGGTTATAAACTAACCAGTAGGTGCTTTTCTACAGGCTCAGTTCTCTTCAGCTCTGCCCCACTCCACACCAGTCTGAAGTGTAATTAACCTCTCCTGTGAAAGCCCAACCCCGCCTCCAAGCAAATTTGAAAAATGTCAACAAAGTGGGCGGAGCAAAGAGACACTGAGGGGCAGGGCCTAAAGTGTGGGGATAAGTGCAGAGGTGTGGTCAGGARGAGGGAACATGACAGCTATTACACTTGGATTTTAAAGTAGTTTTATAAGTGATGGTGTGTTTTTATGTGGTTATATCTTGTCTGACCTTTATTTTGTGAAATAAAATATACTATTGCCAATACTATTCRTTATGCTTTTCATTGAGTTAAATCCATAAGAATGTGTGCAGTAACTGTTAGTTCATTTATAAGAAAATAATTAGATGTGTTGTTTTGCTGTARCTATAAGCAACTGTTTGCTGTAGCAACTATGAGATTTATTTACAGACCATCAGACTTTTTCATGTKAATAGTTAGCTGTTAGCCTGATTTAAACCAGACCCTCGTCCTTCACTTTGCTCCGTACAAGGGTCTGGACTTGCTGAATAGAGAAGTGTTTCTTGCAGGAGGCGTGGCCTCTGCTAAAGTTTAAAATGATTGGATCAGTTGGCTGCGACGTATGTCGCTGTGACGGAGGCTAAGCTAAGAAGCTAACCAGAAATCGCGTGTGCTGCAAACAACCCTACTGAAAGGAGAAATATACCGAGCCGAACGAGACGACTGCAAATGAGAGCTGCTGCTTTGTCAGTCAAATTTAATTTAATTTGGAAGCCTTATCAACACAGACTGGCTTCATTCACTTCCTCCACTGCTGTATGCTAAAATAACTAGCAGACACTGCACATAACATCGACGCCATTCAAAACTCCTCCTTCTGTTTGCTGATTGGCCCAGGTAAAATAAACTACAAGCAGACACTGCACAGAAAATCAGCGTTATCTTCTCTGATTGGCCCAGCTAAAAATCTGCCAGCGAAATCCATCTCAATGGGAGAAGTCCCAGAC